AGTGTAGTAAACTACTAGTTATGAGATAACTACTAGTTAAAACGAAAACAGCATTTCACAATTGACGGTTCAACGTGACACCTTAAGTTAACCAGTAGTTGAATTAACCCAAGGATGCGTACGAGTTAACTATGAGTTAGCTGAAATGCTTCGTTTTTTAGGGCAGTTCAAAAGTGTCAAGTTTGAAAAGGTAAAATTATTGAATGAAAACTTTTGCATTTTTTTTTCCGTTAGTGATACAATTGGAATTAAAATCTGCTCCCACCCTTCTCCAAGCATTTTCTTATTTTTTTCCACGTCGATGCGCCGCTTTTTTTACATTCTATAATGAACTTATATTTTTGCACGAGAGACACTCTTCATCCTTTGGAAAATTCGCAGACATTTTCTAACTTGACTTCGGGATTTAAATTTGAACAGGAAACACGACACAAAACCCAATATTCAATTGAATAGGTAGGTATCTTTGAAATTTTACTGCCACTGACACAAATTAATATACTTTATTTACGACTAATGTATAATGTGCGTATTATATTTGTGATTTTGGCAGTATAATGACATATGTTATTCCTCCAGGGATTAATGACGAGTAGCGGGATTAATGGTCATTATTCCACAAAAGTGTCAGTGTCAAACGTGTAGTGCTTGTGGATTTGTATTGAAAATTATGAGACGGATGAAATTTGTTCATTGAAAATCTCAAATAAATTAATTTGTCGTAAAGAAAGTAGAGTATACTACTCGCAATAATGGTTATTATTCCCTCGGAATGTTACTCCCTCGCCGCTAACGCGGCTCAGTTCGTAAGAATCCTCGGGAATAATAGCTATCATTATTGACTCGTGGTATAATCTACTATTATTAATGACAAATCACAAAAAGTGATTGTGAAACTGGGCCTAAATTACTAAAAAAATTCACACTGCAATAACTAAAATATAAATATGGGTATATACAGGGTGTTCCTTAATACTAAATATCATGCATGTAGAAACGGAAGGGGCGATTCTTTGGTTTTTTCTTATGACTAAATAAAATTTCAAAGAAACATGGGTTTGCAAACGCTTCGTTACCGATCTACAAGGTGTTGAAATTTCAATATATTTTTTAGTTTTTTCTTTATAGCTCCTGCGGCTTTCGAGGGATTAAGCCCAAATTTGAAATATAGGTTACGCAATAGGAGCTAAATGATTGTACATTCCACAGAAAGATTGAATCATAAAGGTACCTTTTGCATTACCAGCTTTACCAGACAACTATTATTGCTTTTGAGAAAGTTGGTTTTTGTGTTTTTGGTGGTGTCGCCTTTTGACAAAGTCAGAGCCCTGATAAGTGATGATGGCCAGTGCCGGCCCGAGGCTACTTTTAGTATGGAGCGAGATCTGACTTTGGCGCCCCTAGTCTAAATGTGATTCGCATACGCGAGTATGGATTTTGACCATTATCTAATTTAATAGGTTTGTTCCAATAACCCGTCAAAAAAACGTCCCAGAACGGTTTAGGAACCACTCTGTATACGAATTTCAGTTTCTATGCAAAAATTTTAGGTTTTGCGCAGAATCCTGACGATAATATTACGGTTTCCTGCTGGGTTGGAACAAACAAAAGCTCAATGTCTCTATTTATCTTACCAATTGAAAATTCAAAACATTTCTGTTCGTTGGTACAAAGTTCTCTTATTTACTAACATTTAGTTCACATTCTTTGATGGGATCAATCAATAATCCACTTTGGACTTTGGTAATATCACTTATAACCAGTGGCGTAGCCAGTAGGGGGGCAAGGGGGGCGAAGGCCCCCCCCGCCCCCACACGTGTCGCGCCCCTACCGCTCTTGAAAAACAAAAGCAAAAAATAAGAAATTATAAAATGATGCTGTTTCTTATTTATTTTATGTCATACCAATACATTATTGTGTTTTTATACCTTAGATACCATCTATATAATTCATTACTTTATGCCCGTGCGGGCATAAAGTACACATTATGACCCGCGCGGGCATAAAGTACACATTATGGCCCGCGCGGGCATAAAGTACACATTATGGCCCGCGCGGGCATAAAGTACACATTATGGCCCGCGCGGGCATAAAGACGCAAAAAAAGTTTTCAATTAACTTATTCTTTATTAACAAAATATAAATTTACGCTTATAAACATATTATTTTTGTCAAAAAATGTTGATTTTGAACACTGATGACAATTTGCAAAGTGACACTTTTTTCCCAGGTATTTATTATTCACAACCAACTGGTATGACATAAAAATTTGTATGCACCACGGGTACTAATAGATATATATACCCTCGGGCGACTTACGAACCCTCGGGCCAGAGGCCCTCGGTTTGTAAGACTCTCGCCCTCAGGGTATAATCATCTACTTAGTACCCTTGATACATAAATAACTATTATTGACCTCTTCACTCTTTATTAATTCTTGATCGTAAGTCGGCATTGTCGGCAAAGGAAAGTTTCTGTTTTGATGATTGATGTGGTATTTGTTTATTGGGTTGGGTGAGGCTGTCATCCGTCCGGATTTCCCCGGATGTGTTCCCCAGTTTTCAAGGCGTCCCCGCAGACGTTCGGGAGGATTTTTTGAAGTTAACAGCATGTCCACACATTATTTTTCGTAAGGCTTAAAATACATAAATGTTTTTCGGCCTGGAACCCGAAAAAAAAAACTTTTTTGGGCGTGGCACTCGAGAAAATTTTTCGCCTTCGGCAGCGCGTCTTTGATATCTTCCCCCAATAAGCAAATATTACGAAAGCAGACAATTACGAACATTTATTTGTTATTCTCCACCCCCCACCCCCCAAAAAAATTATGCGCCCCTTATATGTTTGCCCCATCCGCCCCGCAAGGCTGGCTACGCCACTGCTTATAACACTTATGGCCATTTCCACCAACTAGTTATTTTCGGGAAGCCTTAAACGATAAGTATTCCCTAGACTGACAGTTTTCCATGGAGAAATGTCAGTTTAGGAAATACTTATCGTAATAGGCCGAGAGTTCTCGGGCCGTTTACATTTCAAATACCGTAACGCTGACAACGCTTGACAAGCAGTATGACAGTTCTTACGGTATAAGCGTTAGCGGAGCCCGCTATTAAACGGAACTTACCGGATGCCTTACCGTAACGCTATGCTCTGTCAAAACTAGTTTACGCTCCATTTATGTCTACAAAAACAGCAACTTCTAATAATTCCTCCATAAAAAACACCAAGGGAAAATTATTCAAGCTCAGGAATCTTCAGAATAAATAAAAGTTAGAAAACAAGCAATAAAAGTGGGGTTAGATTACTCAACTCAGCTGTCAAAATGTAAACAGAATAAGGGATTAGAGGATTTATGTGTCTTCGTGCTCGAGAACTATAAAATACCATGTAAAATACCGTATTGTTAGCGGTAGGTACCGTATTAGCGTAGCATCTGACGCACGAGGACTTCCTAGTTTGTGGAAACGGCCATTAGGGCCGGTTTATTCACCTTCTGATAAACTGTCAGGTATGCAATCTGACCGACCGATAAAAATGCAATCTCTAATTCCATTGGTTGTTTATCTGAATATAAATAAACCGGGCCTAATAAATATAAAAATCGAACAAACAAAATACGAAATTTTTGTGTGTTTGCATACTTTTGCATTGGCAAATTTATTTATGATCTCCTCATATGACAATATCTGAGCTATAACATTTTCAATGGACAGCAGGGCTAGATCTTAAGGTTTCTCTTCTGCTAGAGTTGACCGCTAAGGTAAGTTTTAATTAACTTACGCTTACTAAAGCTCCGTTCACCTTTCGGCACTGTAACAGGAATGGTAACAAAAATACGGAGAGCTGTCCAGATATAAGGAAACGTATCTTGCCAATTATTAAATGCTAACGCCTGAAGGACTGCTTTCGGGTGACTGTTATCACTATCCGAAATATCGTGATCAAATGATCGGGTAAGGGCGCCACCACACCCACGATACGGCTGCGTCTCAAAAAAACGTCAGGACAGGTTATTCTCATACTAAGTAAGCACAAGCTTGCTCACAAGCAGAGAAGCATGATATCGTGAAGCAGAGACAGAATTCAAAGCGAAAATATACTTTTCCCTTTTTTTGTATTACCAAGGAACGAGTCGAAGGCGCCCCCCGAGGTCTGGTGCCTGGAGCGCTCGCTCAGTTCGCCTTATGGTAGGGCCGGCCCTGATGATGGCTCAAAGGCGAAAGCGCTAGGCAGCTAGTAATATACATTATGCTGAATATAAAACGAGTATTTTGACTTCTATTCCCTGATTGTCAAGCATAGCGTACAACTGAACAGTTTCTATTTACAAAAAAGCTACCTGTTCATGTAGTTGCCGTTCACCGAACGACGCGTAGCGGAGTTCGGTGATGCAGCCGAGTGTGCAAAAATATTTTCCGCAAGTGTTAGGTACAATATTTTTCCTACAGGCGAAAAAATGTAAAATTTTTCTTTTTTTTTTTGACATATCAGTGCGGTAAAATTTTTTCCGCACTGACAGCCGTGCGGAAAAACTTTCTCCGCACTGATATGTAAAAAAAAAAGTTTTACCGCACTGTGCGGGAAAACTCATTTTCCGCACGCATATCCGCACGGCTGTAGGAAAAAGTATTATTTATTAAATTAATTTCAGTACCTTTTTGAATTTATTTTTTTATTATTCGACAAATTTTTAAAAAATAAAAGGAATAAAAAGATGTTGCTCTGGGGGGGGGGCAATTGCCCCCTTTGCCCCCCCCCCTGGATACGCCAGTGCCCTGGTATATGGTGCTAAAAGTAGGTATAAGGTATAAATTATTTGCTAATCTTGAGTGGTTTAGTGGTTAGATAGGTATAAAGGTATATACAAGTTTAATACATTATTTTTCGTTATTAACTTATGTTTTGAAAAATAAATTATACTTTTCTAATAATAAATTACCTTTATCAGCGTAAATTATTGATATTTTAATTGTGCACGTTTTACTTATGAGATAATCGTGAAACTAGTTGACTCTACCTTAAATTTATTTGTATTGTAAAATTTCTGCCACATTGCCACACCCAACAATGAAGACGTTCGTATTATTTGTATTTTTTCAAATCATAATATGTTTGGGTACCTAATATCAATTAATTTGCATATTCAATTTTTTTAACAATAATTGTTATTCTAGCGTATTGTTATGATTCTACTGAGTATTCGACTGGAAATAATGAATGTAACGATCCTAATGCGGAATTGAGATACGATAATTCGAATTGTACTGTAACATGTAATAAGAGAACCCTAAGTGATAATCCTGGTAAGTTATATAAATCACGATACAGTCACGAGCAAATTTAACTATGCACGATAAATTATTTTTTACCAATTCAACTCATAAGCAACATCTCGCTAGATACAATAACATATCATTGAATAAGTTCCAAAAAAGGTCCTGTCTTTTTTTGGTAGCACTTGTACTTTTTGAGATAATCGGCTTTTTGGCGTCGTGGATGGTTGATGGAAAGTTTTAGCTGAATACTTAGGTGCATCAAATTCATACATTTTTTGGTTAATAACTGAGTGCCTCAGCGAGCATAATATCTCAAGTTTCATTGTTACCTATGCGAACTCGTAAATAAGTCAGACATACCACAATTAAATTAGCTTTATTCAAGACAATAACACAAAAATTATTCTACACTTCGTTGTCTTCGTTCAACTGCAATCAAGCTTAACTAGTCACAAAACTAAAACCTCCCGTAATTCAATGTTCCAATCATTATTGAGATTATCATGACTTCTTAAAATCGCATGTCAGTTTTTTGAGTTTTGTCTCTCAAAAAATAAACTAATTTTATTTGCAATCATATATGTAATCTTGTCAATACTGACTTTTTAAAAATTTGGAAGTGACACTTTACCTTTGTCACTTCCCTCTTCGATTTCCCTCACCGATTTCCCTATTCGACTTCCCTCACTCTAATTTATTTATCTTTGCTGGCAACAATGAAAACATATCAGGTAAAAACGTCAAAGCAGCGAATGACACATTTTAGCATGTTTGTTTTATTTTTTTAATATTAAAAAAATTGATTGACTCATAATTAATGGTGTGCTTGCAAATAAAATAGTATACAAACCTCGGAGGGAAGTTTTAATTTCTGTCTCGAGATTATTAGTCAATCTCTCGACAGTAATCAAATACTTCCTTACTCGGTATGTAATATCAAAGTCTGTAATATACTATTCCCAACTTCTCACATATTCACTAACGGCACTATTATAGAATAAACTTAGATATAATTTTCCATTAAAGTCAGCTCCACTTCCTCGGTAAATCACTTGTAGTCAAGATTCTAGAAACTTTAATTTGTATTTGATCGCTTTTCAGACTCTTGCTTCGGACTCATCGAACTAACCTTGTCATGTTACTGCAAAAATACATTCGTCTTGGACGAAACAACCAACACTTGCGTCCAACCTGAGAATTGTCCGTGCAACACTAGCAATAACGAAGTTTCACGGTACAGTAACAATTGCGCCAACGGATGTGCAACGTTCCATACACTCATCGACTGCTCAGGAGTGCTGCATGGAGGCTGTTGGTGCATGCCGACTTTTTGCACGGATGCAAATGGAATTTGTATTGAAAAAGAATAATAATGCTTCAAATAGTGAATTGTTTTGAGATGAATATACCTATTGCAGTATAAACTTATAAGTACCTATGTGTACTGATGGGTCACAAGGAAAAGGAATCCGAAAATACGCGCTTTGTTTTGGGGAAAAAGGCTAAAATTAGGTAAATCTGTTTTATGTTTTAACCGGGCATTACATACTCTTGCTTATTTTAAATTTAAACGGATGGCCTGGTTTATTATTCCTTATTTTGATAGAAAATTACATTCTAGGTTATTAGATTCAGAATTTGGTACAATTCAGTACCACACAATCGATATCTAATTAAATTGGTATGAAAATAACTTGAGTACCTACCTATTCAAAACGCAGATGTGGTAATTTTGTGATGTTCTAGAAATATATCGGAGGGTGTTGATGAAGGTTAGTTAAATTCCGGTCAAACAGAACTTATATTAATTTGTGTTTTTTTCTTCGAAAACAAAAAAGTTATGAGCGGATTCCTTTTGGCTGTGACCAAGTTGCTTTATTAAACCTATAGCCCCCACTAGTTTAACATGACAATGAGTATTCGCAGAGAAAACAAGTTTATAATTTTTTATTTCTTCGCAATAATTTTCAAAAAATTCTGGTTTTTGTGAAAGAAAATGTTTTAAAAGCAAAGTTACAAGCACAGCTTACCCTGTTCACCAGATATGTTAAAACAAGTAGGATATTAGCAAATCAACCAACCATAGGTCTCTCCTGATTTTAAATCTGAAGTTAACAATGAAAAAATTAAAAACGAGAATAGTGTAGCGCTACTTTGGTTTTCCGTACGGTAAGGAGTTTTCGGAATACTCGGGCGCCACCCCTTAGTATTATAGTGTTTAAGGGCCCACGTGCTCCAGGTAGATTTTACCAGTGGAGACGGAAAACCAGAGGTCAATATGCGCCTCCCCAAAATGAAACGGAAATGTAACCAACAAATTAAGTTTATTAGGTCGAAAAATAATAGATGCAATACGTAATGAAAATGATAGAAAGGTAATACCTATTCAATGAACTGACGGAATGACGAAAAGAGAGAGAGAGCGCGAGTGTGTAAACGAATACTAGCGTGCTTTTAAGATTATGCGGTGGTAAATGCAAAAGCTTAGACGGGACGGTTACGCGGGACGGTAACGGTACGCGGGGGTGAAAAGCTCTGCAGGTCCACTCTCGGGGGATCCAGCTCCTTCAGCCGTCAGTGCTGGTGATTTGGCCTTTTAGGCGATCGGTGCGGAGTGCATGACGTATCACGGTATCTTAATATACAAAGGCATAAGGACAGAGAGAGCCACCCTGTAAACGGTCCAGCTCGTAACCCCCTCAAGTCCGTCACAGAAAGAATAGGGACACCCCGTAAGCGGTCCAACCCCATCCAATCTGTGTATCCCCCTGTATAGCAAGAGCATCATGCACGAAAGAAACGACATGTGTGAAGTGAAGAATACTGAATATACATTGATATAAGGACAACGGGTGCCACCCTGTAAACGGTCCAGCACGTAGCCCCCATTGTCCGTCACAGACAGAATAGGGCCGTAACCCCATTCAGTCCGTGTACATCACTGTATAAAAAGTAGTCCCACTCACCCAGATCGTACGATTTACTGAGGCGTCGTGACGGCGCTGACTACGTCGGAGCGGAATCCAAGCCAGCGGCTTACCTCGGTGGTCGGTGGTCGGTGGTCTAGGCGCTGGTGGTCTGGGCTGCTGGTACCTGTGAACAGAAGAAGAAGAGTGTCCAATTGTTTTTTCTTTTTTGTCCTGGCTGAATGTTAAAAAAATGTTGTTAATTTTATGTTCCCATATTTTTGTTAGTGTATCTTCTGGAGTCCCAGATCATGGTAGGAAAGGGTTGATCCTACATGGCGGATCTGTGAGAGGTAGGCTTGACGTCGCTGCCTTAAATTTGGTTCCCTGGGAGGGGCTGTCTTGAACCCGGCGGGGCTGGTGTGTGAGAATCCCTAATTAGGGGATTTGTAGAAGTTTGGGCCTTCGTAAAGTGGTTGGTGTGTAGGTCTTGTATATGGTCGTCCATTTTCTCTAGTTGTGTGTCTCTACTGATGGTTGTACTCCTGACGAACCACGGTGGGTTTAGGAAGCGGTTACGGAGGATTCGATTTTCAAGGCAGGCTAAGGGTTTGCGGACTTCAGGTGTTGCTGTGGCGTACCAGGCGGGAGTACCATATGTCAGTATGGGACGTATGTAGAGTTTGTCTGTGTTTAACACTGGGTAGAGTTGTGTTAGCTGTCCGCTGGTCTTGTTCCTTGCGTATTTTACCTGGAGTCTCCAGTTCAAGTGGCAGTCATAGATGACTCCTAGGTATTTAACGTGAGATTTCCATGGCAGGTCAGCGTTTTTCCATTTTGGTTTCTCTGGTGGTGGGTTTCTCCTTTTCTTGGAAAACCAGATGGCTTGGGTTTTCCTTGGGTTGACCTGAAGGCGCCATCTGTCCATCTAGGTTTCGAGGCTGTTGAGGTGCCTTTGGAGGCGACGTCTTGTTATGGGTCGGGTCCTGGCAGTGGTAACTATCGCAGTGTCGTCGGCGTAGGATAGTAGAGCAGTCTCTGGAGAGGTAGGTAAGTCGGCCATGAAAAGGTTAAACAGCAGTGGGCTGAGCGGTGAGCCCTGGGGGCTCCCTCTAAGACTGGTCCAAATGTTGAGTGTGTTTCGTTGGCAGAGTGGCTGTTAATTGTCACCCTCTAAACTTCCTGTCGGTTAAAAAGGAGCGTACCAGTTGTATTTGGTATAATGGCATATTTAGTCGTAGCATCTTAAGGAGGAGTCCTTGGTGCCACATTCTGTCGAATGCTTTAGCGATGTCCAGGAAAATGGCCCCAGTTTCCATATTCCCTGTTGAACCTTTGGTAAATGAGGGAGGACAGTCGAGTGGCTTGGGTTGTTGCTGAGTGCCCGCTCCTGAAACCCATTTGTTCGTCGGGTAACAGGTTTAAAGCGTCGACGGTGTTTTGGAGGTCCCATTTTATGGCTCTTTCGGCGACTTTCCCAAGTGCAGGGAGTAAGCTGATGGGGCGGTAACTTGTGGTGTTGTTGCTGGATTCTCCTTGTTTTTTGATTAAAATGATGTTAGCCGTTTTCCAGCTGACGGGGAAATGTCCCAGGGTGAAAATGGCTTGTATAATGTGCGTGAGGTCCTCTATTTGTTTTTGAGGTACTTTCCTCAGGGCCATGTTGAGGATGCCGTCCAAACCGGGGGCTTCTTGGCGCTCAAGGGCGGCGATGATTTGTCTTGTCTGGTCGGTGTTGACGACTGGAGGCTGGAGGTCTTGATGTTGGTCTAGTGCAATTTGGAGTGTCTCGTCTACAAGTTGGTCCTGGTCTTGGTGAAGCGGGGGGTTTGAAGTGAACTGCCCCTGGAGGCTATCGGCAAAGGCTTCGACTTTAAGTGTAGGGTCGTCTTTAGTGATGTGTGTCCAATTGTGGCCGCGCGGACGTCGGGCGTCAAAGAAGAGAGAAAATCCGAGACACTGCGATGCGGGACGAATGCGTGATACGCATAGGGGGTTCTAGCCCATCTGTGCTGGTGGACAGAAGCCCCTGCTCCGAGGTCGCTCGCCGCAGGTGGTGGAGGTGCCGTGTTCTTTCCCTTTCGCCAAATCTTCCTATTTGGTGTTATTATTTTGTACAATTTTTCTTTTTTTTTCTATTTGGGTGTTACGTGAATCAAAAAGTGCCAGTACAATCTTAGTATTTTTTTTTTTGTTTTGGGCAATTTAAATATTTTTGAGCTGCATTTCTATATAATTCCCCCGATTAATAAAAAAAATTGCGTTTGCATTTTTTTCTTTTGGATCTCATGACCTCATATCGTCTTAAAAGGTCTGAGGAGAATAAGTCCGGACAGAAGAGACCTTTTTTATTAATTGCTAATGAGTGGAAGTGATGCAGAGGGAGTGACACGTAGTAAAGCAAGATGGCATTCGGAAAAACAGGAGAGAAGCGATAGCATCAAGAAAATTAATTTCAACTCTACACACCGAAGCACGGTAGTTGGCACTCTCACCCCATGATTTACATCCGAGCATAAAATATTCGTAGAAGTTGAATCCAGTAATAAGCAAGAGAAAGTAAAGACCTTCTTCCCAGCGAGACTAAACAGTGATAGTCTCAAAACAGCCGACGTATCGGTCGAAAATATCGAAGCAACTCCAGACAAGGAGTTAAAAAGAAAATCATCAAGCAATAAATCCGGAGTCACGAGGAAGCCGGAAAATGGCAAACACAAACGTTTCGTTAGAAGCCAAAAGTCCCGCAACCCCTAAATTCATAGAACCACCGACTTTCAACCCAAGTTTAGATTAATCTATTAATTTTCTGAGCAAATATGGAAGAGCAGCAGCCCTGAGTGGCTGGTCCGATACCTACAAAATATCTTTCTTTGGATGTTTCTTAGAAGGCGCCCCAAATAGCTGGTTTTCAGCATATAAATCAAGCCAGGCACATCAAAACCAAACATGGAAAAATATAAAAACAGACTTCTCGAAGGAGTTTAGCGGAGAACAACCGCTAAGAAAATTGAAGTTCAGGTTGAATACGAGAAGACAACAGGAAAACGAGGAAATCAAGCACTTCTACTTCGAGTTATACGCCCTAGCTTATGAGATAGACCCTAAGATGCCCTTCGATACTTTTAGGGACCATTTCGAGAATGGTCTCCACTCATCGTTCTACGAAATTTACTACCTCATTAGTTCAGGAACGATGAACCACGCCAAATTGAGAACGTTAGTCCTGAAATTGAGCGAGGTAAAGGAACGCACTTTGATACAATAAATGACTGATGAAACCAGCCTACTAACATTGGACGAGCGAAAGGGCAGTAATTCAAGCGATTTTAAAGGTACGGCTGGGTACACAAAAAACTCCGGAAGAAATTATGAACATAACGACAGAAATTCTAAAAGTTTTGAGGGAAGTTATGGGTACAAAAAAGAGTACAAACCAAGAAGGGCAAAAGGAAATATTCCCTCACCTACTTAGAATAGCTAGGTCTAATTTAGCCTCGGGATATATACCGAGTATCTGGC